TCAACATTTAGGACTTATGTCTTTCAAAAATAGCTATCGGTATACGGCTTTTAAAAGCTTCTTCTACTTCCAATTCAACTTCCTTATTTTCTGTTATTTTATCTTCCTTATTCATATTCTTGCCGGAGATAATTTTTAATAACGACATCAGTAGACATATTAATTTATAGAGATCCGCTATTAATTGACCTCTAGAGCGATTCATCTCTGCTCTGTGGTCGCCTCTGAGTTCTACCTTATTTTCCTTTATCGTATTTTCTTGACGAGGCTCTAGATCAGTTTTATTTGTTAACTCCTTTTGTTTATGAGACGTCACATTCTCTGAAAATTCTTTTTCTTTCCTAGTCTCTTGAAAAATTTTCGTATTCTCATCTCGTTTCGTTTCCTCAATGGGATCGCTATAAGTTTTCTTCTTATTTTCTTGTTTAATCTTACGCCCTAACTTCATATCCGTACCCATATTATTTTTCAGCTTAGTTAACTTACGCCGGCCTTTTTATTTATCTTCTTCTTTGCTATACCTTGGTTCTTTTTAGTAGTTCGAGTAGTTATGTGTGCTTGTGAATGGGGTCGGCGGTGAGGTGACACCCGCACACTTCGTAGTATACTAGCTTCTGAATACTTCAAGTCGACTTCCTTTCGATTTCTATTCATTTGATTATGTCTGGATTTCTGCGTTTTACCTCGGTAACTACTTCCGTTTTGTTTGATAATTTCTTTATCAATTTGCGGTTCTCCTTTTAAATAATTTTTCCTTGGGGTTCGGGGAGAGCAAAAATGGACTTCCTTTCCATTTGGTAGTATAATCATTCCACTAGATTCGTCTATTTCTATTTGCTCCCGCTCTAGGATATCTCTGCCGATTATTCCCATACCAGGCGCTGTAATTTCAGAACGCACTATTTTGCAAGTATTGGTGAATTTATGACCTCGAAGTTTGAATATCGGAATGGTAACACCAAATGTCGATACTGGTTTTCCGTGACCACTATCCAACTTCCCTTCTTCTCCGAATATAACGGATGCTCTATTTCCCAATCTTTGAGCAAAACCGTTTGATAATAACGTTGTCTCCAGATTCTTGTCAATTCTAAATTTCGTGGGAATGTTATTCACATATATTAATATGTAAGGATCTCTTTTTATGCGACTGTTCGATCCTCCTTTTATATTTTTGCCTTTCTTTTCATATTTGGGTGGGTTTCTCTGATTCCCCACAAAGTTTACTACACCTCTCCACGTATTTTCATATCGACTATATCTATTAGGCTCGTCCCTATTTATATTATCTAAATCATAACGAGTATTATTTCTATGCATCCGATCATTTTCTCTTCTCCGACGGAAGTCGAATGTTTGTGGACGGTTTCGGTTATAAACTGGTTCCGTTGATCGGAGATATTTCGTATTTCGTCCTCTACCTTTATCCTCCTTCTCCTGGGACTGTCTTATAAATGTATTAAATCGGTTGCTCAAGTCACCTATAGCCTTAACTACTTCTTTCATCTGTCTTCCGGGATCAGATTCCGTTTCCCAAAAATAATTCTCCTTAATCTCGGCTAATTTTTCCTCTTCTTTTATTACTCTTAAAAGACCCCTAGGATGAGAAGTGAGGAGCTCGATATTCTCTTCATTTATTGCTATTTTTAGTGCTTGGTCAAAGGTCTCGGGTTCTCTGGACATAATCCTTTTTCTTATCCGGAGGTCTACACCATTTAAAAATTGGACCTTCAGCCGCTCATCTAACTCTTTTTCTTTGATTCGTTTTATTACTTGTATTTCTGCCTCATTTGCGCCCTCATGTTCANAATTATGTGTTTTAACATGTATTTCTATGGGAAAATGCGTTTCGTATAACGGACGTTTCACTTAAAGGACGTGCACCTGGAACGGATTAAGTACGTTGTACGAGGCACCACTGTACTTGATAATAGTGTTATCAATAATTAATTTCTATCTATTATTATCATAGCTAGAGAGTTAAAAAAATTAATTTAATAAAATTTTTTATAGCCATGTTACCTGTGAAAACTGATGTACCACAAAGTCAAACAAGGTTATGTCCTGGTGCACGCAGATCATTCTTTTGCAGAATGAAATGTAAAGCTATGCCAACAGTAAAGGAAGAAGCAGATACAACAACTGGATGTCATAAAAAAAGAAAATCTCAGAATTCAGGTATGAAAAAATTAAATAAAATATATATTTTTTTAATTTACTACTATGTAATTTCCAAACTTTAATTAAAAACCTTTAAGACTGATTTAAAATGTTAACTTTAGAAAAGTAAAAAATAGACAATAAGAAATTTAAAGTCAAGTTTTGGAATTAAGTAATAAAAATCAGCCATAATTTAGATTAAAATGAATTTTATGTTTAGGTTTATGTTTGCCTTTAAATATGTTTGAGTTTTGGTTTGTATGACATATATGTAATCTTTCATTTGTAAATATTTTTTTTGATTTTTGAATTCTCATTGGATGATAAAATTTTTTTGTACAAATAAGAGACACAGTCATTCTAAAAATTCTTAGACGATCACCATATTATTTTCTCCAATGTTCTAGAACAAACTATAGACAGCCAGACCTTCCTTTGTAGGCTACTCAACTGTCCAGTTAAAATGTTCCTTAAAAGCATAGAAATCCAATTAAAATTAAAAAATTTCATAAAAATTGGAAATGGTAAATCTTACGACGTCTTTAAAGTTCTCATCCTTTCCATTTGGAGTTTCGGCTCTTTTATATCCACTTAAAATTAGCTCTGACAAATGTAGATTATGCCTCAACATCCATAGCCATTTACATAAGATAACCTTCATAGTTATATAAATCAAATACTATAATATAATATAATAGTAGGGTTAGAAGTATGAAATAATCTAATAAACTTAATGTTTGTTATTATTTTTCTGCCCCTGCATCACTGGTCTTACCTGCTAGTTGATTTATAAACGTGGAAGTTCTGTACACTTTTATAAGATTAGCAATGTTTTGACTGGGTGGATAAAAGAGGATGAGCATTTATTGTTTTATAGTTTCATGGTGATTAGCAATTTACTATATTTACAAACAAGTTTTTGTGTGGCTTGTTGATATGTCATGTGATTCAAGTGTTGTAGGGTTATAGTTATTTGTACTGTTGATTCTGTTGTGTAGAAACTTTAGAAGTGGATTCATTCCTGCAAATTTTTTTGATAACTTGTGACACTATGGATAAGTTTATTGTGAAGAAACATAAACATCCAAAACAGTGAATGTGAACTGTCAACTTCCACTGCCTTCTAGCCTTTTTTTTTGCTATCTGAGTGGTAAAGGGACTAAAACCATAAATAAAAAAAAACTTCCACTGCCAGTTTCAATTTGAACATTGAAGCACCAATTCCTGGTCTATTGTTCAGAAGATGAGAGAGAAAGCCATATTTTTTTTTTTTTAAAGAAATGGAAATATTTGGATAATTATTTATTGTATGGATTTTTGTGAAAAAGTGATTAGAATAATCCTCACCCTGTATGCAGGGGCATCCATACATTGGGGCACTTGCTCCTCTTTCTGTCTAAGTTTCCTTTTCCTAATCATCAAAGGGGATCCGCAAATTCCATTATTAACAAACGATAGAAAATTCAAGACTTCTAGCCTATTCTGCAAATATAAAAGAAACTACTGCATGATATTTATCTGTTGTCTCATGCAACTTTCTTGTACACTGACCAAAACTTGGTCTTGAAAACAAGGAATGTTCTTTTTTTATAAGACCAAGTTAGCCTCAGTTGCAACCACTGCCACCTTATGGAGGTGTCCTTATGGATTTATCAGACATTAAATCATAGTTTTAAGCTTCTTGCATAATGTATGATATCCTTTTTTATAGCTTGTATAGTCCATTGGTGCTTCTGCCTATGTATATAGTTTGTGATAAAACATTAAGCAATCAGGTCATGGCACCCAGCAAATTGAAACAGCATCTTACTATCAAGCATTTTAGTAAAGCAGAAAAAAGTTTATTTGATTTTTTATGTCTATTAGAGGGTACAGAAGAATGCAACTGTTAGAATGGTTAAGAGTTACAATAACTGAAGTTTCTTTTAAAATTGAAACCTTATGGTACTGGAGAAGAAATCATTTTCCAGCATGAAAAACTATAGTTGAAACAATAGTTGGCCAAGAAGCTAGAAATCAATGCCCTTCTATTGAATATGTCCAAAAACATTATTATCTGTAATTAAAATATTTGCTGACAAAAGGTGTGGTATACATATATACACACACTCAACTTCCTAATTGTGTGAGCAAGCCTTCTCAGCTATGGCATCAATAATGTGACCTCTCGGGTCAGCACCTCTTTTGTGCCCTGTCAGGATTGACACCACCGTGTTTATCGGAACACAGAAACCAAGACAGTAATTTCCACGTCACACTGTCGGTGAGCGGTTCCATAAGTGGTCAGATGGATTCGTAATGTCAGCCGATCGAGAGACAACATAGGGAAGTGACTCGAACTACAATTAACGCTTAACAAGGATTTAATTGAAAATAAATTGGATAAGATACAGAATGCTAAGTTTGTGTCACGGAGAGAGAGAGTTCACATAACAAGTGTGAGTTGTATAAATATCTGGTGATAGAAGATTGGAGTTCTCGTTGGGTAATAATAGTCCGATGGGGATTAGTTCCAATATAATATCCACCAGCACAAGAATGGCACAAGGTATCCAAAATGGGCACTGATCGATGATAGTCTGGGAGTAAACAGTGTGTGTTTCCGGTGTCGGAAGGACAGACGACGACTGGCTTTTTCAGCTGTCTCTGGGAATATTCACTGATGATTTTGGCCATGCAGAGGTTAATAGTTCACAAGAAAGCGTCATGTTGCCTTCAAGAAAATGTAACGGGAGACTTTCTCAGGTAACTACGAACAACAATTTTTACATCTCTCGAATCATGTTAGTATTAAAGACTAGTTCTAATATAGGAATTTTTTTGCTACCTCACAATAAAATCCAAAGCAAGAAACAGAATGGTAAGTTTTGAGGATATATATGTTGCATTGTCAATCATTAGACTTGATATCAAACTTTTCTACTCTAAGCATTAATCACAAGTCTCACATTAAAAATAAAATAAATTTTTTCTGATGTCACATTATGGTTGTCTAATATGCTAGTTTATTGATTTCCAAAACTATTCCGTAACTGTGTTTATGTATTTTAATCCTCCTTTTTTGTTATTTATATTTTACTTACTTCCTGTACTACGATAAATTCCACTTTGAATTAAATATACAAAATGTGAAAAACAATGATCAGAAAAATTCTAACAAGAATGTAACAAGTTTCTAATCTTCACAATGGTGCAACAAGCCTAAAAATGTTGGGAATCCCTAGTTTAAATATTACACTGCTGGCCATTAAAATTGCAACACCAGGAAGGAATGATCATACAAACATCAAAATCATATGAAAGGAAGAAGAGGTTGGGATATACAAATGATTAGTATTTCAGCACATTTAGACGATGTAGGAGGGACAAACGACATCTGAAGCACTGCATAAAAGAAAAGTTGTGAGGTGAATTTCTCATTCAGAAATTGCTTTGTAAGGTTGGGGTTTCTTCAGAATATCATGTTATGCCTCGAATAAGAACAAGAAATGCTTACCAGCAAGTGTCGGAATTCAGTAGAGGCAGGTTCGTTGTCTATTGAGTGTGTGGATTATTGTTCCATATATTGCCACTCACACTCATCAGAATCCAACTACTGTCATGTGAATATGGAATTGATGGGTTGCTGAGGGTCTTACTGAACGACATGCAGGATCTCAACACCCTCCCATGACTAATGCCTGAGAGGACAGACATATTGTGAGGTTGACCATGCAAAACCATACAACCACATCACGTACCATTAGTCAGGAAATGAGCTTGTTTGCAGCATGTCCAGATCTGCTCATATGGTGCAATGACGTTTGCAGCAGCATTGACTGTCAGCACAGCGACCATTACTTCAGCTTCCCTTGACAATGCAGCATAGAAAGAGACGGCAACTCTAGTGTGCCCAATGACAAAACTGGATACAAAAGTGGCACAATGTCATCTTTTCAGACGAGTCCCGGTTCTGCGTGCATCATTTTGATGGCCGTATACGTATCTGGAGGCTCTGAGGAGACCACTTGTCACCTGCTTGCATTCAATATCGACATAGGGGTCCTGCACCTGGTGTGATGATATGGGCAGCCATTGGGTACACGACATGCACATCTCTAGTTTGGATCGACGGTAACTTGAATGCAGATCGGTACATTTCTGACATCTTACATCCAGTGGTTGTGCCCTATCTTCGAGGCTTGTGAAATGCCATCTTCCAACAAGATAATGCAAGACCTCATGTTGCACATCATGTTCTGACCTTCCTCGATACAGAGGGTATTTGATTTTGCTCTGGCCTGCACGGTCTCCAGATCTCTCACCAATTGAAAACATCTGGTCATGGGGGTTGCTGAGAGACTGGCCCGCCACCCCTTTCCAGCTAATACGGTTGATGAAGTGTAACATAGACTTGAAGCAGCATGGAATGAGTTGCCCATTTCTGTCATCCAAGCCCAGTTCGACTCCATGGCTAAACGGATAAGGGCTGTTTTAGCTGCCAGGGGTGACAACTGTGTCTACTAATTTTGCACCCCTGTAAAACCTCAAACTGCTTGAAAATATAATCATTTTGTCTTCATGCCATACTGTTTATGTACAATAAATATTTTTTTTTTATTTACTTTCCTTCTTGGTGTTGCAATTTTAATGGCCAGCAGTGTATGTTAAATATTACAAGATTATTAGTATTTTCCTAATCAATCTCCACATCATATAGGAGATAAAAATAAATATAAAAATATAAAAAATACAGGAGATATAAAAATGTCTTCACTTCCACCCTGTCCAACCACCAGGAACTAAATTACTATTTTAAATCAAAAATAAATATATTTAATAGCATAATTTTTCATTTATTCTCTGAAAACCTGAGATTGCCTTATAATTAAGTCAAAAAATTTTTTGCACTAAGAATTAATATTGATTTAGAATGTGCTATTTATACAAATATACACAACCAAAACCTGATATATTAAGCAAATATACACCCACAACTGCCATAAATGATCAAGCTAAATTTGGATATAATGATTATAAATTAGAAATAAATTTTGCACTGGAGTGAGGCATTAGGTGCCATCTTATAATAAAATTAATAATTATAATATTTAATTAATTAATTTAGATTAAACTGGAAAAAGAATTATAATCATTATATCCAAATTTAGCCCAATCATTTACGGCAGTTATGGGTGTATATTTGCTTAATGTATTGGGTTTTGGTTGTGTATATTTGTATATCTATACCTTGCCAGGGATGCGATGGCCAACTGAGGGCTTTCAGTGGATGTTTCTGGCCAAGGGCGTAATTGCATCTCCAGTCGGCACTGTAATAATTGTTGATGGTTATATCTTAAACTTATATATACTGGAAGAGGAGATCGGATTGAAGGTCCAGGTAATGTAACTGGCAACGTGTCCACACAGTAAGCTGGAGTTGTGGCTTCAAGTCCCGCTTCAGGCCAATTCTTTTCTTCCAGTTTAATCTAAATTAATTAATTACATATTATAATTATTAATTCTAATACAAGATGGTGCCTAATGCCTCACTCTAATGCCAAATTCATTTCTAATTTATAATCATTATATCCAAATTTACGATCATTTACAGCAGTTGTGGGTGTATATGTGCTATTTAATAGATAATTTTCAATTATGAAAACCTGAATGATTATTTATTAAATATCTTATGTTTTATTAATCATATTTCTTGATCATAAAACAAATAAAATATATACTGAGTTGACAGAATGAAACAAAGATTGGAATCCAAAGTTTTTAGAAGCAAGCATATGAAATTTCAAAATATTTAATCATAATGAATGAAATAAGAAATTGAATTTTTATTAAAAAATATAAATTAAATATTTTAATTTTTCTGACTTAATTTTTTTGCATGATATATAAAATTTTTAATTAGATCGTAAATATTGTGTAATTCACTGCACTGGATATTTGAAATCATGGACACCTATTAAGCTTAGCCTAGAAGAAGATGGAGAAGGAGATAATGAAAGTTGTAATCTTAGTTGCTTAGTTGCTGTTGGGCGTGCACAACAAGGATTAATCCATCTTAGTCCAAGTAGACCCGGTTTGGAAGTATGCCCTACAGAATTTATTTCAAGGCATGCTGCTGATGGAAAATTCTTATTTGTTGATCAGAGGTATATGACATTTTTCATTCTTAAACTTTTAATTTCCATTTAGTGATAAATAAGGATTGGATTTGTATGCATTTGCATGCTTTTTTCCTTAAATGCTATGATGTTGAAATCTCAGCATAATAAATTGTGATTTAATTCAAAGTAGATTAAATTAAGGTAGTCGTGTAATTTTTAATTAGATCACAAATATGGTGTATTTTTATACTGGATATTTGAAATCATGGAAGCATATATTAAAAATATGCTCCCATATATTTTATTTGCATTTATGATTTTTACTGCATATTTTGCAGATTTGAACATTTTCAAGAATAAATAAATGCTTTATCAACTTTGTAGGTTGTTTTCATGATTGCACATGCTAATTTTTTCAAATGATGGATATGCAGTGAATCTTTTTTGCAATTTCAGTTTACATGAGAATTTTCACTCTGAGCATGCAAAATTCAAATGTTTTAAATTTGAACTGTCTAATTTGCATTCTTGTAAAGTCCCACAAATGAACAGTTTTGCATAGCTGCAAAATCTCATTTTCCAAATTCTCAAAACCTTTGAATTAATTGTGTTAAAATTATTGTAAATGTTATATTTATTAATTTAATAATATTAAATTTAAATCTTTCAAAAAAATTTTGTAACATGATGTTTAATTAAATACAGTAATACCTCGACTTATGCTACCC